AGGGGAAAAGGGGGACAGTGGGGGGAGTAGGGGGCACTGAATTGTAAGGGGGTGGAACTGAGGGAGGCACAGAAATTTAAAGGGGTGTGGGCAGGGGGCAGAAGGGAGGCATTGGAGGACAAGTGGGGAATGTCAGGAGGATCTTAAAGGGTCAGCAACAGCACAGGGGCTGAGCAGAGACGGAGTGTAGCAGAAGGGTCTGGCTGGCCCATCAGACCCCTGCCCATTAACACAGGCCCCACTGGTGCTTCTCCCTAGTCCCAGCAGGCCTGGGTACATCTGCGTGGGGCAGGAGCAGTTCCACACAGGGAGCCCACCAGCAGATACGTGGTTTTGTCCCTCAGGCTGCTGTGCCCCCTGGCCCTGCTTGAGCCCATGTAAGCCTCTGCCCCCCTGTCCTGGGGATCTTGCCATATGTCTGATCCAAACTGAAGACTTGGCAAAGTTTGCTCAAACACAACACGTGCTCCTGCCTTGCATGGTCATGTTCCTTGACAGGTGAGGATGGAGCTGTAAAAGGGAGTCAAGCCCCTTTCTGGGTTGAACACTTGGCTGAGGCAGGGTCCTTCTGTGGAGGGCACCAGCAAGGGCCAAAGTGCTGGGGCCGGGGCTTTCCCTGGCCACCTGCAGTGCTGAGGGCTCCAGCAGTCCTGGGAGCTGAGCATGCCAGGCGCAGGGCAAGTGACTGAGCTGGACGTTCTCCAGCAGCAGGCATTTGTATGAGGGGTGCTTAGAGGGACCCCAGCCTGCCCCACCGCTGCAGGGGGTTGGTCCCAGGCACAGGTGAGCCCCGGCTCCCTGCACATTGGGCTTTGCATTGCCCTGGAACAGTCTGAGCCTCCTCCCAACCCCACAGAGCTTCTCAGCCCTGCCAGTAACTCCTTTTTCTCCCCAACTTGCTGCTCACATGGACCAGATGCCTTGGTTCAGCTGCATCTCCTGAAAGAAAGCAAAAGTCCAAGAAGCCAGAGACATGGGGCGAGAGGTCCTGGTAAAGTGGAGCCCCTGGAGATAGTCTTTGGGAGAGGTTTCTCATGTCAGGCCAGGCCAGGCAAACAGATGAAACAGTGGAGCGGTAAGGCTCCAGTAGGCAAGAGCAGAAAGGGGCTGAGCTCTGCCTGCTAGCCCGTTATATTAGCTCTCCTGACAGCAGTAACAACTGCAACCACAACAGCTGCTGAGGACAAGCTATTTACTGAGCACCATCTTCTCTGAACAAACAGAAGTGTAACTCTTGACACCTCACTTCCTCCGAGCAGCACCGTCCCAGGACAGCAGCAAGCTGTGGGCCAGGTGGGGGGCTGGAGGGAAGCCTGTGACACTGGCCGGGAGGTAGAGGACCAGCCCACAGGGGCACAGTGCCCCCAGGCCAGCACGGCCCCAATCCTGTGGCCACGGCCCCCCAGAGCATGGCCAGGCTGTGCTGTCCCACTGTGCCAGCCCACCTCCATGGGAGGTGAGGGGTCCCCGAGGCATTCCTTGTGCATGGAGGGCTGGGGGGGCCCAGGCTCTCGGGGTGCTGCGACCTAGAGATGGAGCCCTGGGAGGTTCCCTGCTCTGGGAGCAGAACAGGCACCGTGGGCGACTCGCTCCGATGTGGCTGTCCCCGTTGCTCTCCTCCGGGGGAAGGAGCGGCCGCCGGGGCTGCGGCTGCCCTGAGGGAGAAGGTGAGCGGGGCCGGGCGTCCCTGCGACCGCCGACCTCCCGGGCGAAAAGCATGCTGCAGGCGGAGACGTGCTGCGGTGGCCCGGAGCGGGGCGGCGGGGGCTCAACCGGGCGCGGGGCAGCGGGGCCGCCGGCTGCCGGCGCCGGAGCCCGGCCGGCCGGGGGGGGGGACGGTGTC